AGAGACAGAGACAGAGACAGAGACAGAGACAGAGACAGAGACAGACATGCATACGTCATACATACATGCATACATACATACATACATACCTACATACGCATGTATATGTATAAGCACATACTATTTAACAGTATATTATGAAAGCCAGCCTTCGTAGAAGGCGCCAGCTGAGTTGTGCTTGGCGAACGAAGTGAGTAGTTAGGGGGCTGGGGGGGGTGGCCCGCAAAAGGTACACGTAAACTCGGCACATGCTGGGGGAGGAGGGTGGACGGATGGAAGGTTTTTTGAGGTCGTGTTGGAGGTGATTTTTGAGGGGTGGTGATGCAAGAAATGCAATTTGCATCATTTGCATCATCTGAATGGTAAGGTGTAGTTGGCACCTTGCCAGGTATAGATACCCAGGGTAGCTATAGTGCAGTTACCAGGTATAGTACTTCAAGTTCCCTTTCCATCAACCGCCCGATAACCTTTTCACACCTACAGCAATCCGCAGCTTTGAAGTCTCATGCTCGCGACCTCCAAGTGGTCCTTTCCTGCCTCCCTGGTGCCTCCCTGGTGCCTCTTGTAGCTACCCTGGGTCCGTATAAATGCTATGTTGCTATACCTCTTACACACCTATATAAGTTCAAAGCACGAATGAGGCTTCAAAGCTGTGGTTGGCTGTGCATGTGTAAAGGTTATCGAGCGGTTGACGGAAAGGGAACTGGAAGTACTATACCTGGCAACTGAATTGTAGCCACGCTGGGACACTCGAAAGTAGGTGGTGTGTAGGGGTGCACGGAAGCAAGGTTTTGGAGGTGCTTTTTGTGATCTTAAGAAATGCAATTGTCTTCGGTTGGTTGCAGCGCTATACGTGGCAACTGAATTGTAGCTACCCTGGGTATACCTGGCAACTGCCTTGTAGCTGCCCTGGGTCTGTGCGTGCGCCTAAATCACGGGCAGCTGGGAGCCAGCAAGGCGCGCGCGCGCGCGGACCCAGGGTAGGGAAATTGAAGTGGGGGCACCTGGCGACAGAATTGTAGGTACCCTGGGTCCGTATAGATGCTACGTTGCTATACCTCTTACACACCTATATAAGTTCAATGCAAGAATGGGACTTCAAAGCTGTGGTTTACTGTGCATGTGTAAAGGTTATTGAGCGGTTGACGGAAAGGGAACTTGAAGTAGAAGGGGGGTTCCGGGGGGTGGCCTGAGAAAGCACACTCGAAAGTAAAAACGCTGCTTTCGTTCAGGTTTTGTGAGCTTTTCAGACTACCTTTTTTCTTTTCAATCCAGCATGGCATTCCCACTTGTCTCACCCAGACAAAGGTGGCTGGCTTTGACAAGCCCCAAAAATGCAATCATTTTGCTTCGATTGATCACCACCCTGAGAAGCAGTGGAGGGGCTGGGCACGCGTGTTGACAGACAATCCTGACACATGTGCCTGATATGTGCATTGACAAAGTGTTCTTGCACTTGTTCTTGCATGAAGCCTGGTATGTATGTGTTCTGACACATCGTCTATCATAATAAAGGCGGGGAATGTGTTCCGACGTCCCTGTTGGCATGTGTTCTGACTTTTGTCCTGCCCTGAAGTTTGGCAGGTGTTTTCATAATCTTCTGGCATTTGCTTCTGGCATGTGGTCTCGCAGCAATCTGGGCATGTGCTCTTCTTACTTGTGTTGTGACGCATGGTCTGGCTTCGACCCTGATATGTTGAGAATTGTTGAGACATGTGTTCTGCCACTTGTTCCAACGTTTGTTCTGCCGTGAGGCATTCCACATTCCGACATAGTTTCTGACATCATTTTGCCTTCTACATGGCAGTGTTTTCACTGGCGTCTGACATCCTGCATGTCTTCTGGCCCTCTACCTGGCACTTTTGTAACATGGTTTCCGGCAGGCTATTTACATATCTCCCGGCATCTTGCTGACTTTCTTTCTCACATCTTCCCTTCCGGCATTCTATTTGGTTTGTCTTCTGGCAATTTTTGCCTGGCATCTTCTATAAGGCGTATCCCCTGATGGTATATCTTCTGACATCCTTTCCGGCATTCAGTCCACCATATTTGGCATCTGGCACATCTTCTGACAACCTTTCTGGCCTTCCCCTGCCGTGGCACAGCTAGACTGGCACGTATTCGGACATCCTTTCGAGCATTCTGTCCAGCATCATCGGGCATTCTTTCTGGCATGTGTTCTGCATCTTTTGGGCGGTTCTATCTATCTTGTGACATTTGCTGAGAACCCTTTCTGGCATTCTACTTGGCATAGTTTTTCTATTCCGCACATCTTCTGACTCAACGCCTTTTCTTGCATTCTTCCTGCAAATTCTTCCGTGGTATCTTCTGACGTCCTGTCTAGCAAATGTCTGGTGTGCCTTCCGGCGTTCTAACTAGCATATCTTCTGACATTTATTCTGCCCTTCTACCTGGCTTACCTTCTGGTTTCAGGCGTGCCTTTTTTGACATTTTCCTGGCATTCTATCTGGCGTAACTTTATGTGCTCAGGTCCATGCGTGCCCAAACCCCCAAACCGAGCTGGCGACCCCTATTGTTCAGGTCCGTGCGTGCCCAGACCGATTGGCGTTTCCTACAGGGTGCGGGCCCGTGCTTGCCCCCACTTGAGCTGGCGTATGGTGCGGGCCGCTTGCCTGTGCGTGCAGATTGAGCTGGCTGGCGCTCTCTATGGTGTGGCGCTCTCTATGGTGTGCGGCCCCGTGTGCACCCACGCAGGAAAGTTCAAGGAGTAAGAAGGCAAGGATGGAGGAAGGAAGGTGGAAGGAGTGGCACCTGTCCTGGCAGGTTGGGAAGGCCGGGGAGGAAGTTCCTTTAAAACGCAGATGCTTTCGACAACACTAAAGAGAAACAACTGGTTTCGAAAGGGGTGCTCCTTCGGCACGTTGTACACCTGTGACATTCCTGATCACTCCTGCATGTCTCTATATGTCCTGTGTACTTCGACCGAAAGTGGTCTACCCCAGACCTTTGCCGTCCACATTCTGGGGAAAGCGTTGAGTTTGGCGGTTTGGCCAAGTGCAGCACAAAAATGTGGGCCCAACCTGGGGAGCAACCTAGGCAATTTGCAGGGGGTCCCAGCAAAGGCAGGAAGAAAGGCAAAACACAGCGAAGCAAATCCACAAAAGCATTGTGAACGCCATTGCGAACATCCAAGAAGGCATACAAAATACACGAGGCGCGTGTGCGTGCACGTGCGATGCAACACAATACAAAGCAGAAATGGCATTGGTGCAGTGGGCGTTAGGGTGCGGCTTTTGCTTCGAAACTGGGGTGCTGCAACGACATCGCGCGATTGCGCGATCAACTTAGGTGTTATTTGCAAATTGGGGACCGCCCTGTCGTGTGCTGGTGGAAAACATCAGCGAATATTTCTCCATATTCTTCCTTCTCTATAGGTGCGTCTTGGGTGCCTTGGCTTAGCGTTACGGGGGCCTGACAGACAGATTGTCAGCGCAAAAGCCACAAACACACCGAACATGTTTTTCAAAAACATGTTTGTTTGGTCTCGAAAAGAAATTTGGACAATTGAACCCACCAGGTTGGACCAGCGCAGCCTTTGTTTGTGCTTGAGGAATCTTCGAAGGTTTGAGAAGATAGGCAAGGAGCCCCTTTGTACTTGCGCGCCATTTTCAAACCGGCAGAATTTGGTATTTCTTTAAAACCCGGTTGTTGAAATACGGAACAGCTTTTCAAAGCGATGATGTTTGGGCAGGTGTGCTTCGCCCTGCCATCCAAGGTTTTGCTGTGCTCAACGTTGTCAACGCGGTTTTTGTACAGCAGACAATCAAGACCGCCAGCTCCGACGAAGAACTTGCCTTCAAACAAAAAGAGCGAGATATTGCCATGTACACTAGGAAAGTCAAAAACTTGTTTTTTACCTTGGACACCTCCGGCGATGGATGCATTGACCAGGAAGAGTTCAGCAAACTTGTGAAACATCCAATGCTCAAGTTTTGGATGAGCCAATTGGAGTTGGAGTACCATGACTTGCTTTCTCTTTTCGAGTACCTCGACAACGGTGACGGCGAAATTACTTTGATGGAATTCATAGAAGGTGCCACTCGGCTTCGAGGTTCTGCCAAAGCCTTGGACATTTGGCGCATGGAGACAAAAGTGGAAATGCTATTTGAACAGTTATTTGGCGTCCTGAAGGACCCCCATTCCTGACCACAAGCCTTAGCCGGTCAGCTGTATGTCTCGTCTCACACCTCTGATGCAATTGCAGAAAGAAACAGGGGGCATGCAGCAGCTTATCAGAAGCGTGCAGCTTGATCATTGGCCAGCAGTGCAGTGGCATCAGTTGTTCACCAAGACCTGGTGGTATACACTGCCATGTGTTCATTTCGTGAGCAATCGCACTCTCAATAAAGTGTTTGTTGTATTGCCTTCGCTTGGTTTTTCCATTTCGAGCGTGCTTTGAGGTTGGCCGCCGACTTTGTGAATGGCAAAAGTGGCAAGGATCAGGTCCTCAAGATGCTGTGCCGCAAGAGCATCAACTGACCTTGGCACTGGCCAAAAACTTCTTGCTGCCTGGTGTGGGCCGCGCGGAGTAAATATGTAGAGTCTTATAGGCCCAAACTCTTAACAACTAATCCTGTCAGCGGCGATCTGGTTCAGAATGAATCAACAGTCTAGCCGGGCTACGCCCTTGGCAATCCAGAAGCTGAGGAACGCCAAGGCCGCTGCGGCTGAGCTCTCAGGCCACGATCAAAACGGCAGAGGAATATGTTACTACTGTAATTCTTGTTTCTACTAGCTTCTTGTTACTAGTAGTAAGGCCCTTGTTCCTAGTTGCGATGCCCTTTGCTCCTAGTAATTAGCGTCCTTGCTTCAACGGGCGTGCTTTTGCTTGGTGGGAAGTCTTGGTGCCATTTGCCGTCCAGCACCAGCATTTGCAAGCATACCTGGGTGTGCAGGTGCCCAAAAAGACGCGGCTGATTACTATGTGAGGGCCATGGAGAAGTCACAAGAAAAGGCTGATTGGTTCAAGAGACTTGGCTCACTGCACAAGCCGGACGCTGTTCCACACGGACATGGCTGGTACAGCAGCGGTTGATGTTGTTTGGCTTCTTACATTTACTGTCGATGTTTTGGATTTGAGATGATTTGAGTTTCTGCTTCTTCAAAGCTGTCGCTGTTTCAGTTTCCACAGTGTGCAGTGTACTGGTTTGCTTGAAGCGGGTTCGGCCCCCTTGCCATTTTGTTTTCTTTTCACTTCATTTTTTGGCAAATAGGCGTGCTGTTTGTAGCTATTGGTTTTCATTTGAGCCAGTTTTCTTCATATGCGAAAACAAAGAGGAGGGAGACAACAGAGAGGAGAGGCAGAGAAAGGCGATAACAAAGAAAGTGCGCAAATATCACGAAAGGTAGCCTGGTAAGGACTACCTTGAGTTTGCTTTGCGAAGCAAAGGGCCTGGCTTGAGAGCCTGTTCGGGACTAAAGATTGGTAGATCAATGTCTAACACCCCCACCCCCCCGC